CAACAGAATATGTGATTAAAATCCAAAAAGAGTATATAGATAAACATATATAATCATGAAAAGTTATACTTTATCTTAAGAAATGAATGGAATTATTTTCTTTGGTTGTTAAAGAATATACATGAACAAAAGAGATATATTTTCTAGAAAAATTCTATGAGAGAGAGGTAGCATTGGGTCATATGGAAAAACTATTGGGATGGATGATTGTAGCCATTAATCGTTTACACCATATGTTATTTACTCAAAACATTAAAATATGTGATTACAGTATCCGAAAAACTTATTATCAAACGCATTATCAAAGTAATGACAAGTGTGCTACACGCCTACATGAATAAAAAAGTGTGCATGCATCGTGTTACGTTTGGAATAGCAAATGGGCATAAAGACACTTTATTTTTTAGGTGGCCAAACTTTCTGTTAAAGTGGTCATTCCATTAACGATCTTAGCCGAAAAAAAAAAGTCCAACATTATTTACAATAATGGAGGTGGTAGATAAAGATATGTGCGGTGTGTCTTGAGTATGTAAATGAAGGGACGCATTTCTATCTTACAAAAATTGATGCTCTATCTGTCACGTAACATATAATATATATAATCATACTTACGAATATATTCCCTTGGAGAAATTGTTTTTATAAGAAAAGAAGAAACATATAAAATTAAGTGATTTAATAAAATTTTTTTGTTAAAATATGTTACATAAATAACATCACTCATTCCTTTATAATTGCGGAAAATTGTATATATACAATTATTTTATTTTTTATTTCATGATAGAATTAATTTCATCTCTATTTTATTGTTGTACGTAGTATTAGTTATCATATTTATATTTTATAATTTTTTTTCTTATCTCTTTAAGCTCCCTACCCCCAAATTCACTTAATTTTTCGTAATTAAATATTTCTAAGACATCTAATATGTTAATACAGTAAGAAACTGATCAGTATAATTTTTTTTTACATTAACAACCAATTATATCTTTTAATTGTATCATGTTATTGTTAAAAGTAAATCTATTTATAGTGACATGACACAATTAAAAGATATAATTAATTGTCTATGTAAAAAAACTTTACAATGTCAATATATAAATGATTAACTCATATAATATTATAAGAAAAGAGAGGTAAAAATATTTCTTATTACTGAACCTATAATTTTTTATTAATAAAAAAATAAGAGAATAAATAAAAATAAATGTAGACTGTCTTTGAAATATTTTAAAAATTTAGATGTTCAAATATATCATTAGTGGTATAAACATTTATTATCACTTATAAATTTAAATGACGACCCCACACGCTCATTTGTTTGACAACCAACGGTCCCACGGAGGAGTTACCGTACCCAAACTAATCAGCATACCACGTCACTTGCTAGGCACACGCAAGGAAAAAAGATTATTAATTAAAAAGTATTATATTATTGTAAGAATATTTTTAAATAAAAATTTAAATTTAAATAAATAGAAAACTAAATTACCAGAGATTATTAACATAAGTGATTTGATACTTTATCCTTGTACTCCATAAATAAAGACATAAGATTAATCCATAATTTAAATATAAAGACATAAAAATACAGATATTTATATAACAGTTAACTCAGAAAGAGTTAAACCTATTTATTAAATAAATTAAATAAAAATATATAAATAATTTGAAAATATAAAATTTTGAGTAATAAAAAAAAACTTATATTTTCGTACTTAAAATAATAAATATTAGATGGTATTCATGATTACTAGACAAGAAGTTAATGACAATAAGAATTCATAGATAAAGTATTACTGTTCACTTAGAGTGCACTTAGATTATAATTAGAAAATTAAGTTGAGTTAAACTCAATTTTTTAAAACTTAAGTTTAATTAAAAGTGAATTTCACTTGATTTATATTTGGATATCTTTATTTTAAAAGTAGTTTCATTAAAATAGAAACTTGTTTGAATGATAAAAAATAAAATTACTTTTAAATATATAATTATTGAAATAAATACGAATTTTAATGCAATATGAATATTATTTATTATTGTTAAGAAAAATGGTGATAATATTATAAATTAAATTATAAATTGTTAAAATATTTTAAAAACAGCTGAACAACAACGTAAGGGTCCAAAAGAAAAGAATAATCAATATTATAAATAAAAAAATAAAAATAAATCAAGTCAACTCGTTAAATATAATTCGAAATCTCTTTAAATTTGATAATATATTTTTTCAGTGAGATTTGATACTATATTTTATTACTTAATCACTAGATAATTTGGTGTAGATAAAGTCTGCTATGTAATCCAATCACGTTGAGGCAAAAGCAACAATATGTTGCTTCGAATATATCGGGCGTTAGTAAAAATAGCATTCAACTCAACATTAAAGAAAGTAACCAAACGAGTTAAGCGTTCAATAGTATACCAATGCTCCTCTAAGTTAATTGAAACTTGATAGTGTAGGACTTTATTTATTAAATTGAAAACCAATAATTTTTTTTTTACCTTTAATATTAAAAGATCTTTTTAATAAATATATATCAAAAATAAGATTTTAATGATCATAAGAATTTATCCAACTGATATCATAAAAACTAAATTATTCTTGTAGTGTCCTATTGTCATCGGTGGAGACTAAATATAGTAGAGAAATTCTAGAGAAATTCCTTCATCGCCTTCAACAATGAAGGAGGGATAGATAGAACGAAGAAATTCAGTGTTGAAGAAACACAATAAAAATGTGAGATTAATCTGATGTTTGTGGTTTACTGTAAAGCACATGAAAAAGCGATTCATGGTATCCTGCGTGTCATAATTTGAAGTCTTAAAATATATTAGTTACCAATTAATTTAATGTAAAACATAGGATGATTCTTTTTCCAAGTGTGAACACTAATGGATTCTTGACAATTACGGGTTGTCCATGTCTTTTTGTTTTGGTTCGATCGCCCTTTAAATGATGACATAATAATAATAATAATAATAATAATAATAATAATAATAATAATAATATAATGATGACCAGGATAAATGAAAAAAAAAAAAAAAAGAAGAAGAAAGAACTTGGTCCAAGGTGAACAAAACGAGTAGACTCCACTTCATGCAAAGCCAACAAATCAACCGTATAGCAAAATATAGATATGCATATATCAATTTGACTAATTTATTTAGTCGGTTTTACAAAAATAATTATGTAGAAAGTTTTAAAAAAATATATTGGTGAAATTCCATGTGTGTTTTATACAGCTGGGCATTAAACTTATTACTTTGTTTTAAGAGAAAAAAAAAACTCATCTTTTAAGTCGAATGTAGTTTATGGCATACTGAGTGCTCTAATTATAAGATTAAGAAGTTCCTAGCAAAATATGCAACTGATTAAGCTTTAGACGAAAGGGATCGTTGAATTAGAATGTCAAACAAGGCCATAAACAACTAAAGCTTGATAGTAATAATTCAACAGGGATATGAAAATCTGCCACATGACTCATGCATCCATATATTTCAGGAAAAGAATAAAGCTAAAGTACTTTCTTCCTTTGTACGGACAGTTAAATTTGATGTGATTGAATGGAAGATGAACATGCAAATCTTACATATTGTTAAACATGGTGATGATACTAATTCCCAACAAATTTTACTGCTCAACTTTATTAAAAATGTGTAAGTCAAAAAGTACCTTGATTCGTAAAGATTTTGAGCACTGTTTTCCTAACTCGAACCATTTTCACATTTAACATCAGTAGGTTTCTTGCAGTAATTAAGACTCGATCGATTGATCAATTTTAATAAATAAAAGATAATTTTTTAAATTAATTTTACTTATTTAACGTTCGTTAATACTTTTAAACATTTCTGATTAATATTTCATTTACAAATTAATTATTGTACGTTAAAATGGCAAAGTTTACCATGCATAAAGCGGCTTGCAAAGTAGTTAATGATGGACCTTTCCCTTAACTTCTTTCCAGGGGTATATATAAAGATGGGTGGTGCTAGTTCTTGTCAAGTGGGGTCCATTCAGAACTTTTGTGGGTCCAATTTCCAGAAAGAACGGTTTACCTTGGAGCTTTAATCCCCGCAATTTGACTCTTTAATAGCTTCGTAATCAAAAGATATATACATCTTTTTGAAATGTAGCTTATACCTGCCTTCAAATGTTTTATTTTTACCTTGGTCCTATTTTTTACTTATTCTTCTTAAAATTGATCAAAAAAATCTTGGCCATGGAAAATAGACAAGTTGCACTTATATTTCAAAATGTCTCGATAAATATTATGCTGAAATCACATTTTTTTATTTGATTTAATGATATCTCGTGTTTGTGATGTTTATATCCTCAAATATATAATTTTCTCATGAATAAACATTCATTAAATTATATAATGTAAATTAAAACGTATATTAACAAGTGTTCTATTTGAATACAAACTTAAAATTATTTTTAAAAATTTCTTTATTAAAAAATAGTTTTTTATTTATAGTATAGAAATTGTCGAAAACACTTATCCCTTATATTTACACATGCTCTAAAGTATTTAAAATTAAATAGAATAAAATTAACTTGGTATGTTGGATGCTTTAATTTATTATGAAATACTTGATTAACTTTAAATTAATCGTAAAGCAATTAGGGCTTACATATTTATTATGAAATACATTTCCATGCATAGCCTTTGCTAATATAAAGAACTACAGTACTAATCAATTTGCTGTATTTGCTTCATGATCAAATGCGACTGGAAATTACCCTTGTTATGCATCTAACTAATTTGCTGGTCTTAGCTCTTAATTAAATAAATTAATCTCAATGGCAGTTAGATGATAATGTTTTGTTTCAGTCTAAGCGGATTAAAATTTATTGCGTGAGATATGTACACACAGGACATCTCCTTTTATCGCTTGGGACAAGAAAAGCAAAATGAAAAGGCAAACAAGTTTAGGGCGCTTCACGTAGAAGATTCATATCGATCGATAAAGGGTTTTTCTCTCTCCGTGTTGAACTCATGTGGTGCATGGTGATACAACATGCATGCACGATGCACCCTTGACCATTGATATGTTATCCATGCATATATAGAGATAGGCGATAGTAGATAGATAGAGAGAGAGAGAGAGAGAGAGATATTAAGTGTAACTGAGCAGGTCCTCTCTTTACACGCAAAGATAAAAAGGCAAGGATCATAGGAAGCAAAAGCCCTCTCTCACTCTCCCCAAGCAAAGTAGCGAACAAGAACAACTCTATTGAGAAAGCCAGAAAGGCATCAGTATCACACCAAAGCTTTTCCTTCTCTTAGCGATGAGAGTTCCCTCATCCCCACAACTCACCCAAAACCTCCTCCTCCACTCTTCTCCCAACACAAGCACAACCACCAACCCAACCACCTTCACCTACGAACCCACCTCAGTCCTCGACCTCGGCCGCAGCCCCAGCCCAGAAAAGAAACCCTCTGCCCCAAGACCAGACCCCCAACACAACAACAACAACAACAACAACACCAACAACCTCGACCTGGACGAACATGTCTTGCCCAATTTGGATTGGTGGGATTCCATCATGAAGGACCTATCCTTGCCCGAAGAGTCCCCCACGCCTCTTTTGAAAAATAATAACATAAACGCATGCATCCCTGATTTCCCACCCTTCGACCACCCCCCAGACTTCACAACCTCTCTCTCGGAAATATACACGAACCAAAACCTACCCTACACCTACACCTTGGAGCAATCCTTTCACGACCTCAACCAGCACAACAACAACTGGGATTTCATCGAAGAGCTCATACGCGCCGCCGATTGCTTCGACACAAGCCACTTCCAAGTGGCGCAAGCCATACTGGAGCGGCTAAACCAACGCCTCACACGCTCCCCCATGGCCAAGCCGCTCCACCGAGCCGCGTTTCACTTCAAAGACGCACTTCACTCCATTCTCTCCGGTTCCAACAGGACCCGACTCTCCTCCATGCTCGAGATCGTTCAAACAATCAAAACCTACAAGGCCTTTTCTGGAATTTCACCCATTCCCATGTTTTCAATCTTCACCACCAACCAGGCCTTGCTCGAAACCCTAAACGGATCCTCCTTTGTACACGTCATCGACTTCGAAATCGGCCTCGGGATCCAATACGCCTCTCTCATGAAGGAGATCGCCGAGAAGGCCACCGGCGCCTCCACGCTCCTCCACATCACGGCCGTCGTGCCGGAGGAAAGCGCCGTCGAGAACCGCCTCGTCCGCGAGAATCTCAACCAGTTCGCGCACGACCTCGGGATCCGCGTCCAGGTCGATTTCGTGCCGCTGAGGACGTTCGAGACGGTGTCGTTCAAGGCGGTCAGGTTTCTCGACGGGGAGAAGATCGCGGTGCTGCTCACGCCGGCTATCTTCTCCCGCCTCGGCGCCGGCGGCGCCGCGTTCCTCGCCGAGGTGAGGAGGACGGCGCCGGGAGTGGTGGTGTTCGTGGACGGCGAGGGGTGGACGGAGTCCTCGGCGGCGGCGTCGTTCCGGCGCGGCGTGGTGAACAGCCTGGAGTTTTACTCGATGATGCTGGAGTCGCTGGACGCGGCGGTGGCGGCGGGGGGAGGCGGCGAGTGGGTGAGGAGGATCGAGATGCTGCTGCTGCGGCCGAAGATCTTCGCGGCGGTGGAGGGCGCGCGGCGGAGGACGCCGCCGTGGAGGGAGGCATTCTACGGCGCCGGAATGAGGCCGGTGCAGTTGAGCCAGTTCGCGGATTATCAGGCCGAGTGCTTGCTGGCCAAGGTGCAAATCAGAGGCTTCCACGTGGACAAACGCCATGCTGAGTTGGTGCTTTGCTGGCACGAACGACCCATGGTTGCCACGTCAGCTTGGCGGTGTTAGAATAATATTAATAATCATACACACAATACAAGACACCACAACCTGCTTAATTAGACATGTGGACTTTATTATCAAGTTCACTTCACAAACATTGTAGTTTAACTTTAATTTAGTTCGTAACAGATAATTAAAAATACAAAAAAAAACTGGAAAGTACATAAGCTTGTGTTTTTTCCAGACTTTTTTGCTTTTTGTACTGTAGATAAATTGTGGGGGTGTCTGTATTTAATTTGTTTTGAGATGAGGCATGTAATATTGCTGGATACATGCATTACAGTTTCGGTCTTGTTATCATAATGAACCTGTGGCTTTTCTATTTGGGAAATGAATAGTTCTATTCTATCTTTATATATGTGGCTTATGGTGTGGAATATTTTACTGCAGAAGTCAGAGATCAATAGCATAGCACCACATGTATATGAATATGATAGGCATATTCAGTGTAGAATAACAGTTCTTAGTCCACTTAATTGATCAATTATAGGTTTTTTCTCCAGTTCTTAGACTTCTCGTTTTGTTATTAACGGTATGTGATATGTTCTCAAGAGAAAACTGCTGCCATGGTTGTTCGACGTGACATGATCGCATGAAGATGTGTGTTTCTGGATAAGAACATTCTTTTCTTTGGCACATCACCTGTATACTCGAGCATCTACGGAATGCAAATTAAAGGAAGAAAAACAAGCACCAGCGATTTGTGATAGCATCCCGGTATAGTTGTGTTTTCTGATTATGTGAGCATCATCACTTCCAGAATTATCCATTTTCTTTTAATTGTTTTTTTGAAAATTCATTTCATGCCGTGTTGATACCCTACACCAAAATTAGTTTTTTGTGGCAATTAATTTATTCTTTAGTGATCATATAAATGACCATTATTTTTTTTACCAACATTTAATTAATAATGACTGGTGTATCCAAAGTCACTAATACTATTACCGATATTTATACAAAATGCTGGTAAAGATCTACTAAATTGTCGGAAAAACTTATTTTTTTCAGTGGCAATTCTAGTAGCCATTTTAAAGGCTATTAAAAGTTATTTTTTTCAATCGTCTCCTTTCCATCCATTTAGTGACTTTTATCTTTTGTTAGTAAAACTTTAAATAATTTATTCCTATAATTTCATTTTCTAAATTCATAACTTATATACTTTTTTATCTTTAGTAGATGTGAGATTTGTAAGATGAGGTTTGTCTTCTATATTTATATTTTTAATTGTCTTGTCTCTTAAGAGATGTGAAAGTTGCTCTCTAATTAATTTATAGCACTATTGAACTTAGTAATAGTGGGTAATTTGATACCAATTTAGAATAGTGAATTAAGAGTCTAACTAATTCTTATAAAATCAACTTATAAGGTGATATATATTTATTACTTACTTATATACTATTTAATTATTTTATTCCTAATCGATGTGAGACTTAAGTTATTTTCAATAAATAATTGTCACTAATAGTAAACTTTATTGTAATATAAGAGTTAATCACCTATACACTGCTAGTGTAAAGTTTTTTTACATTGGCAACTAATCATATCTTTTAATAATGACATGTCAGTTGCTTATCTACAAGAAGAAAGGTCATTCCCAACGACATTTATTGTTGACAAATGTTAATTGTCGTTGGTAAAAAATGTTGTCTCCGCGAAAAAATTATCGTTGCATGTCACTGCAAGAACTGCTGTTGCGAAAAGTTTTGCAACGATATTTGATGTCGTTGTCACGATTTATACATTAGCAACAACAATTGTCATTATAACCACTATAGTCGTTGCCATATTTTACATATTTTAACGACTTTTATCGCTACAAAAAATAACATTTCTCATCAATAAAAATTGTTAGGATAATATAACTTTTTTTAACAATTAATATCGCTATAATTGAATATATTTTCTTAACAACTAAATTTGTTATAATAAAGTATCTTTTGTTGACAATTAAAATTGTTACAATAAAGTGTTTTTTTCCCTAAATAATATCGACTAAATTTTTTCTTAATAACAGAAGTTGATCGTGACTATAAATTACCATTTTTTAACAACATGCACCATTATAAAATTATATATATATATATATATATATATATATA